GAAAACACAAATATAACAGCACAGTGACATCAAAGCATATTGTAATTCCTTCAAAATGGTATGTTATGGGATGTAATCGAGAGAGAAATCACCTGATTTTCATCTTCAGACTGGTTTGTTGCTTCAGTGCTTTTCTGTCGTTTTGCTCTCTTAGGGGGTTTGAACTCTGCTAAAAGACATTTAACAGCATCAGCATGTTTACTGACAAATTAAATATGTAATATAGCTCTAATCAAGCTGTATGTAGTATGAATGACTGATAATTAAGTTTACATGGGTCCAAGGTACCTGTCGTCTTCGATTTTCTTTTGGCCATTGTCTTGTTTTAGTCCAGATTCAACTAAATGAATAAAAGTTCAAACATGTTAATTACACACGTGACTCTTTTAATTGCGCATACTGTAGATGGTTCGTTAAAATGTATTCGTTCATTTTTCCTCTAACCCAATTTTGTAAAATAAATTCTTATAACCAATTATAAATCACTTTAACATATCAAATAAACCGTTTAAAACTATTTATGATTTTATGTAAATCATAAATAGCACATCATTAATTTAACAGACAAGTCAAATAAGCGCGCGAAAGATTCCTGACTAAATGTCATATTTAGTATGCTATTTCTGCACATTTTCTCAGAGAAAACGAACTGTAACAAGACAAACCCTCATAAAGTGTAAAATATGATTTAAAATCTCAATACATCGACACGCTGGCGCTTGAACTAACAGATCGTGGGCTGTGGGGCGCCGTCGTTCCCGCGTGCCGTAAAGCGCGAGCCTCTGTCGTTGCTATGGGAAACCTGGCGAAAAGCAGGAAGTGCTGGAGCTACATTGACAGCAGTGCAGATCTGTGTTTATCTCTGTGTTTATGTCACTCTGGTGCAAAAACTTCATGACAGGCAGCTGGTTCTTCTCAGCGGAACAGATATTTACCTCGTAACCCGCCCTCGGAGGAACATATGATCGAGGTATCGCGTTCAAATGATTAGTAAATAGAGTCTGATGTGAGAATTAGCCTCCTCGCTAGCAGAGACTTTGACTGAATTAGTTGTTTACGTTATGATTTATGTTGTGAATGATCCGATATTTATTTTGTGGCTTCGTTGAGCTTTGCCTCTAACATTTCTGGTGCAAAATCAGCCAAAGATGTGCTTTGGATTAACCTGTAAACACTAGCAGGTTAAATGCTGTTTAAACATTCCCTATTGAGCTTAGTCAGTTAATGTAAGGTGATGGAGCTCTGGGAGAAATATGAAACTATTAAAAGTGCATATTTGGCCGATGATTATGCAAATACAGATGCCATTATTCACGAAATGATTTAGGAATGCGATATGACTCCACTCACTGTCTGGTGTGGTTGGTCGTGGTGTCGCTGAGAGGCTGGTGCAGTGGCTGTTTTGTAGTATTAATAATGAATCATTATTTTTCTCACTCCAGGTTTGAAGGACCTGCGGAGAAAATGAGTCGAAGCCGGAACCCTCCGCAGAAGGGCCAGGG